TTGAAAAATTTGAAAAACAAGGGGTTAAATTTGTAACAATCCTTTATTAGTGGGAGCTTACAACATAAAAAGCATCAGCTGCCACAATGTCAAGGTTGCTGCTGCTAGGGTTTAGGCTCTGCGTTGATGAATCAATCAGTCAGAGGAAGTAATTTAAATGTGTCATCATCAACAGCCTTTACAAGTCTGGACATAGGCCTCTCCTTAGAAAGCAGGTTTTGGCCTTCTATACCACGCTGGTCACACGGGTTGGTATACCTCTCTTTGCATTGCTGTTGTCCTGCGTAGTTTGCTCCTTGAGTCGTCTCTTACGACACCCACGGGATGAATAGGATACTCCGTATTCTTAGTCCGTCACCACGCTAACAATTCATTTCTTTTTTTAATGTATAGATATTACTTACACGGATAGATTAGGGCATGTCGAGCAGTTAAGAGTCGCATATCGGCAACTCGAATTTGCCATTTCCGGAAAGTGCAAGCCACGAAAATCTTAAATAGGTCCTAACTTATAAATTTCATAATCTGCGTCTCTCAAAAGGAATAAATTTTCGTTTTTGTAATTTTTTTTAATGATGCTCGGCTCCGATTGGTAGTATGGTCCTTAGTATTAGATAATGCAGCCTATAGCCTTTCTTGACATATGGGCTATCAAACACAATTTTTTTTTACAAATCCAACCAGTAGTTTCTGAGATTAACTTAGAGGTAGCTCGTGCAAACAAACAAAGAAATTCTTCAGCTTTATTATATTAAAAACAGTCAGTTTATATATATTATAGTTATATATATTATATATAGAAAAGACAACTCCCGCATTAGGAATAAGTGTATCCTATGTCGCGGGGGACTTTACAAACATACATGAAACGGACACAAAGAACACCCAGACTCAGAACAACAATTTGTGGATCACACGAAGTGTCGTCCCATGTGGGGATCGGACCCGCAGCACTAAGAGCGGCGTGGCGACCGCTTAACCACTACGCCATCCAGTTTATACACAATAATATAAATGTCAGTTCTTAAACATTTGCATTGTCCATCAGATTTATTTATTCAATAGGACAATGGCTAACGTTGTTCCTTAGTCTATTATTTACGAAGGAGGTTGGATGCTGTACCGATGATGTCGGCATCTGTGTGTCAATGGCATAGATTGGGTGAACCAGTCATCGGTTATTGGTCTCTACTCTTGGCTATTACTATAGCACTTTTACCAACTTTAGAATTCTTTACCATTTTTAGAAAATCATTTTATGAATTAGGGCAGCGGTTTCTAAACTATTTTGAGCAAAAGAACCCTTTTCCAAAATTAACTGATACCTCAGACCCCCATAGCCAAATTACTTTAAAAATTCAATCTCTAGTTTTCTCGTTTTGATACAAAAGTTAAGTTAACTTGACATCTTTTTCTCATCAATATTTAACAAAATAAACAGAGATAATAGTCAGTCTTATAACAAGTTGTTATACGTAATACAACTAATACAGGTACTTAAAAGTTTAAAATAAGAACTTGTGTTAATTAATAAGGGTCCATTTTTAGATTTAACGACCACCAATATCAGTTTTCATTTATGTCGTCCCCTGGGAAACCGATTTCGACCCCAAGGGGTAAATATCGACCACTTTGGGAATGCCTGATTGAGGGGTTAAATGAGCAGGCGTGTCACGTGATGGTAAGTGACTACCGCCGCTCATGGTAAATTAAAAGTCACCAGTGTGTCGCCACCCTTTGAGAGGCTTTAGAAGAGGAGGATTGAGCCTCCCGTAACCTCACTCGATCGGTTAAAAATAACGAAAGAATTGCTCTACCCAGTTGTCTTTAGAACTGGTCCATATTTGTCGAAGGATGACTCTTCTACGGACAGAAAAGCATATTTATGGAGTGCCTTGTGGAACAAAGACCCTGGAATACAAGTTTTATCCAAGGAAACAGGGATTACATAACATTATCTAGACTGTCTTAATGAACGAAATTATAGAACCTCTTCAAAGAAATATTCTCTTAAATAATTCAGACATGAGATAGAGAGCGGGTAAGCGTTTTCTGGGAATAATTGCCTTGCACGTGTAATTAGTCTCGTAGTCTGCGTTCTCAAAATAGGGAGCATTTAATTGCAAATAGTAATTATAGAGCAGCTACACGTTGAACAGAAGTATGGCGCACTCAAATCCAGGTCAGATCTGTAACGTTCTGCCTGATAAATTATCTTCAAGCTGCTGTGTTACTGATCTTGCAGTTTTGGTTTTGTTGACTCCTAAAATTCTGCTGCAATAGTTACGTATGAAACTCTGTTTTAATAAACATAAAAAAGGAGAAGATTCTCAATTCGGTAGAATATTCTTATTTTGAAATAAAAACTTCTTAAGGTGCGTTGGGCTTTTTTGAACAAGAAACAAAGTAATGTATTTTATGGTTTAACAAAAAACTCATTTTTTGAACTCGCGACACTGTTACCGTTCCCGATACCTCTGTGTATAAGTTTTTAATTCGGCACTACAGGAGTGCCACGGTTTTTTTTTCTTATTTATCAGGGCACCCTTCCCGTTCGTTCCCATATCAACAGGAAGAAAAATTTAGATATTTATATTAAGGAAGAACGACGTAAAGAAAGAATACGGTTGATTGCAATGATGTAGGCGCATTAAAGCCGGTTAAACTTATTTAAAAGTTAATTATTCACCTTTTAGCTTGACCAGCAGCTCACCAAACAAATAGACGCTATGTTTGTTTAAGGGTTTATCGACGTCGCTTGTGTTTTAATTGTAATAAGTCTATTTCTAATTTATTACAATCTACTTCATTTATTCCACGCAAGTTGTACACTCCAATGATTCTGTTAACTTTTTATTTTAGTTTATATCTAAAATTGAGATTTAAAATAAGTAATGAGTATTTTATCTTACATCCGCTATTTGATGATATTTTAATATAAGTCAACATTATCTAATACTTACGTGCAATACGTAACGTGTTGAGAACAACTGTATTCAATTATATTAAACTCTGTGTAATATAAATGACTTTTTTGTTTATCTTGTTCTCAGGTGATATTAATTTCAAATAACGGAGTTAATACAGGTTTTATATCATTGCGTCTTATTAATTTGATTTGAATATAAAGTTAACATAAATTTGTGACACTCAGTTTGACGTAAAATTCATTCTTATCGGCGTTATATAAAGGCTGTCAGTTCTTTCTTCTTCCTTCAGACAGGTTAGACAGACCAACCATTCTTTAACATGTAAGAATGAATAACGTATCAATTACTTTTGATTTCGACTATCATGATTGTTCTGAGTGAAAGAAAACTCTTTCGCAGAAGAGCAGACAAAAGAGAATAAACTAGACGGTGTAAGGGATGATATTACATATTTTTAGCAAATTACAGGAATACAGTTTAATTCTTTCATAATAGAAACTCGTCTAAATAATCTAAATTGGATAATTTCAAGTGGTTTCTAGTGAAAGATATGTTTGAGGTACCAGAAGCAAGAATATTTCGAGGATATTCGGAATATCGAATTTAGAAAGGTTTAGTGAAAATATTTGTCACATGATGTGTGACATACTAACACTAAAGAGAATCATTTGTTGGGCTGTTAACGAATGTGATGAATGCTTAACAGTACCGTGGGTTGCCCCACTCGAAATACACAAAACATAATAAATAACACACCGTTCGCTGCAAAGGGAAATAACAAAAAAGTGGTTTTGGCCTTTTGTTTAGCGTAATGAGGGGACTGGACCGACCCTGTTGTGGGCCCACAAAAGCGTGTCTGTATTCGCTTTACACATATTTTACTATTGGAAATGTTTCACGATTATGACTGGAAGGATAGAAAGATAGATACTCTTTATTGCACACTAATAATGAATTGCACAATCTAGAAACATGCCAAGAAACAGTACAATGGTGTTATTGCAGTCTGGAAACTCTTACAGACAACCAGCAGACTATACTGTATGTACTTGGTAGTACTTGGTCAAATAAGAATAAAAAAGCCAGTATCAAAGTATGTGTTTATTTTCTTTTCATTTGTATTGCTTTGAGCCAAACCTCGCCTGTATTCAAGGTATGACATTAGCGACGAAATCGATGTAATTATTTAAACGGTATTGTCAAGACAATTCCAACTATGTTCGCTATGTTATATGGTTCAGGTCAAAAGTACAAAGACAAATAAATTGGTCTGAAGTAGCTTACCAATTAAAGCATAACAGACGACAACACAGTGAGTGTATAAAGATATTAGACGACGGATCATGTGTCCGAGTTACAGAGACCGTACTGTTTACATTTCAACTGACTCCGTAAGTCTCCGCTTTACATAAACACACCAGGTAGCGACAGACCACCGAGCGACGCCGCACTGCTAACGATTTGTGCCGACAAAACTTAAACTGGCTACGTTATACATATATACGAATGGGTTCGCCGAGCTGTGCGGCTCTGAGCGCAACAGGACACTGCCATGTTTACAGCGACGACGACACCACCATCACGGGTTTCTGGAAATCGATTTATTGACGAAAGCACGCTGACATTGAACGTCCGGGGCGAACGCAACAGTTCCTTCATACGATACGAAGCATCGCGAGTCGAGATCCTCACCAAAACGAATCGATTGTCTCGATCGAAAGCGATTTTAAACTATTTTTAGGTGGCCACTTCTGATACGGACAAAAATCGGGTGTCCAACGTGAGATGCGGCTGCTCTCCGTGCGTTAAACATCACTAGCAGCGGCCTAATCCCCGTTCGAACACAATAATGGACAGTGAGAAAAAATATAGAACGACGTCGTCGTATCGACGTTTCGTTCGTCGGTCGCTGGAGCGTTACTGGACAGACGCACAGTCGCGGCAGCGGCGCGCCCGCCGTACATAACAACACTTTATAGGCATTTTTTATGGCTTCGGCAAAAACTAAGAACACTGGCACTTCAACACACGGTGCTCGCACCACGGAGCACCACCAGGGAGGGACACTGCTCACCTGAGCCTGACGGGCGGCGGGATGTTGAACGCCGGGAACAGTTTCGCGTTGGGACTCTCGAACAGCATCGCGATTGTTTTTTTTTCACCGCGCGCGCATCGTGCAACGTCAACACGCGTGGCGACCGGCCGTACACTGCCGGCTCTGCGCCGCTGTCGCCCCGCGCGCCTTCGCCCCACCACCCCGCTGGCCCGCGGCACCCCGCGCCCCGTGACGTCACGCCCGGAACGCCAAGCTAGGCTTCTTTACTTGAACCGTAGCGCTCCATCCCCCTCTTCGGCGTAGTGGCGAGCGAGAGGGAGCGTGTCTCACAAAGGATATTGCGTCGATGCGTATTAGCAAGTCGGGCGCCGAGTCCCTGCCGTGTGGGGCTTCGCGGCGGATGCGGAGCCCCTAGCTACAACTCGACTGGTTTATTTATACGATTGTATGACCTCCGCGAGTTTGGCGGGCACAGGCTATGAAATATTGACATGTTCATGTGTTAGGGGTGATTATAGACCGGCCGTAACACCCTCATGGATCCAGACTTAGTGCAACAAGGTCACTGACGAACAAAGGGATCCTGGGACAGCAAAAACCATACACATAACACAATGCATTTAAAGTATTATCATACAACTTATATTCTTAAGATATTTTGACTAATTTGTCAGAATATATAATTATATACCTGCAGGTGTGCGTGTCACATCATAGCAGCGCAGAGCAGCTTCCGTCCTCTGACCGTGACGTTTCACGGTCAGCTCCATATTTAATGGGAGCTTTTAACCTGACACAATAGAATTACATTTATAATTTTGTCAATTATCACATCTGTCTATTGGTGACTCATGTGTAATAAGTCAAGATCCAGCCAGTTCCTTAGTATAAAAGATATTTGACGAGTTAAGATTGCCTCCACAGCTCGCCTTTTTGGCTGACAAGACAATTGCATATCTTTGCCTATTGTAATGTAACAGAACTTGCAAAAAGCCTGACTAGAACCCACAATAACAAAGATTTTTATGTTTTAGGTTAACAATTAAAGGATTTGGATTAAAGATGACACGAATAGTTCGAGATTTTGCGAGGTTCTAGGCCGAAGCACCGAATATTCGGCAAAACTTAGTATCTTAGTATGTTCGAAGAAGAAAAAGATTTTGTTTCATTGATGATTGGGTAGTGTCTCAACACACCTCATTTGTTGATTGTTGATATTGTTACATTAAACTGCATTGATGTAATTAATAAATATCAACGTTTGCAGCGAAAAGCTTTACGAAATGACACCATGGAATAAAAAAATATCAATTTGGGAATATTGTGACATTTGTAGTAAAGACAATAAACTGGCAGTTTGTTTGCTGTGTTATTATTTGCTATTAGTTCTTCGGCCGAATAGATCGGTATATAAGATAGTAAAAACATAACAAATAACCGACTACCAAATATTTGCCCAATTTTCATGGTATCTTTAATATAAACATTTAAAATGACTAAACCGCTTCGGCTACGAGCTTGACATTTTGACAACTGTTGTAAGCACCCACTAAGAGAAGAATTTTGAACATTTCACCCCTAAAGGGGTAAAATAAGGGATGAATGATTGTATGAAAGTTCATCATTTTTAAAGTTAAAAACAAGAAATAGACATAATCAGGCGAGCGAAGCGCCGTACAAAAACTAATTTGGATATACATATTACAATAGGGTAATGAAACCCTCCTTTCTAAGGGGAGGCCTATGTCCAGCAGTTTACTGTTAAAGGCTGTTGATGTGATGATGATGATGTGAATGAATGTTTTTATTACGTTCAACAGTCGTAGCAGAAAGAGAGCTCAAACTTCCTGGCGAGTTGGAGTTACGTCGTTATCAGTATAAGACCTTGAGCTGTTCTAACTATTGCATACTGTCCCCGATCCATTCCTGTAAGTCATGTCTCTTTCCCTAAACTATCTTCACTTCGTAACTTTCCTTTCATAGTACAATACGCAATTTGTACAACGTGTACGGATGATGGTTTAAGCGGTCACATCGCCGACTCCTACTGCATTGAGTGTTTTAGGTTCGATCTTTACTTGGGACGACACTTTGTGTGATCCACAAATTGTAGTTCTGAGTCTGGGTGTTCTTTGTGTCCGTTTCATGTATGTTTGTAAAGTCCCCCGCGACACAGGATATATTCCTAGTGCAGGAGGAGTCTTTAATAGAATAATCCTGAATTGGCAAGTGGTCATCAACAGGCTTATCTATATTTTGTAAGCAGGATAAAAACCGAAGAATATAAAAAAGAATACCATGTAAAAAAACTGCAAAATAATCCATATTAATGTCATAAATGCAAATGTAACTCTGTATATACGTTTTTACTTGGTCTATCTGTTTCGCTTTCATGCCTTAACTGCTGCAGTGATTGTCACAATCGTGATTGCAAACAATCCTTACCGTTTACTGTTTAGTACTTTATCTTCCATCACCAGCTCATCAACACGAAATAATGACTATCAGACGCAAATACCAGAACAGCCTCAGTAAACATATGAAATACATAACACGTGCGTACGTGCGTACAAAACCCGATAGCTGCTCTCGACCTCCCTGAGATCCCGACTTTGTTTACATGAGTACAAATAAGAACATCCGTGGGAGAGTCACGCTTAGGAGAAATAGACCGAGAGATATTATGTACTCCCTGAAAACCGGTGTTAATCAGATCACTCGTTTTTCAACGAGTGACTGAGTTTGCACATGTTGTACAAAGGCGGACTTCACGACTCGTACATACAAAGAAACAGAAACCTACTACAGCGCCATCTAACGAAGACATACCGAACTAAGGAGTAACTCTTGAATGAGAATTGCTAATCCTGTATCGCGATATGAAGCATTCTCTCGCCGATTGGCATATATACAATTGCCCAACATCAAGTGTTGGGCCGCGGCCCGCCAGGCATGTTCACCTCGCCTGGTAGAAGGATCCTCCCTTAGTGTTGGAGGGATATGACACCCGTTCCTCCACAAGGCATTCTTTCCAGTCAACCTTCAGGTGATGTAGAAATATGATGGGGTAGGTGCAAAAATAAAATATTTAATTTGACTTAGTAGAATTCCAGAAGTATACACAATATATAAACACACATACATACATAAATTTAATATAATATAAAAAACTCAGTCACTAGCGTTGTGACTGTTTCTGCCAATCGGTTTACCGGAGCCCAAAACGCCGATTTTGGAGGAAGGGAAATCAAAGGACAGCAACTCACTTGTAACGATTGAGCTGCAGGTGTTCATGGGCGGTGTTAGCCACTTACCATTGTGTAATTCGTCTGTTCGTTTATTTGAAAAAAACAAAACCTAAAAAGTACCGCCTGTTTGTCCGTCCGTCCGCGTCTTAGCATATAGACTAATAATACTAGAAAACTTTCATTTTGTCTGGGTACAAATACTAATCTCGCCGATAAAGGGTAGCTCCCCTACACACATGGTGGGGATGATTTTCTTTTTCTAGTCTACCCCATAGTGTGGGGTATCGTAAGATAGATCTTTTCAAAACAATGAAGGGTTGTGAAGACTATTTTTCGTTTCAATGATTCGTTTGTGTGATATTAAAATTTACAGTGCTTATTTCTGTTAAAGTCTAATGCTTCAGCATTTTTCTTCAGTATTTTAAAGGGAGTCGCTTAGGGGATTGAAAAATATGAATAATCATGTTTTTTCTTATGTACGGATGAGACACGACTGCGATATGCGAATGCTGAGTTGGATGTGTTGTGTGACTCCAATGGACAGAGTTAGGAATGAGTATATACGAGGCCTATGTCCAGCAGTGGACTATTAAAGGCTGTTGATGTGATGTGTGATGTGATATACGAGGCAGTCTGAAAGTAGCGCCGCTGGGTGAAAAGTTAAAAAGTAACAGGTAATCTTGGTATGGACATGTCATGCGGAGGGATGAGGAAAATGTGGCTAAGAAAGTGTTAGGTGTGGGAGTTGAAGAGTACAAGAGAAGCGGAAGGCCAAAGAAAGGGTGGATGGACTGTGTGATAGTGGAGATGGCTATAAAGGGAGTAAACAGTGAGGTGACGAATGACAAAGTAGAATGGAAGTACCATATACTGTGCCGATCCCAAATAAAATTGTGATAAGGGTAGGCAGATGATGATGGTGGTCACCTGTCACAAGTAAGCTGCCCCTCTTTGAGTGCCCTCTAACATTGGGCCGTCTCTTAACCTAGTCAGTCGGTTAAATAGCAGCGAAAGAATTGTTGCAGTAGTGGTTTTCTGTGCGGCCTTGGCACCACACAGGTCGAGCTATCACGACTATGTAAGCTCTGTTAGTTTAAGAGTAATAGTTGCCCAAACTCTTGAAATATCCCTACTTTGAAAATCGTAAGTGAAAAAATACTTAAATACAATTCTTACTTGTTTAAAACAAGTAGTATTGAACTACGGAATCTACACAGCGTTTGGTGCGACACCCTTTTGGCAAATTTCTATAAATTATCTAATCAAGGTAGTCTCCGCAGTACATCGTCAAGTTAAACACTTCTAAACAACACAAGAGGTTGTGCGACGCGCCCGTGGGAACCCATCCACACAATGCTTTGCACACAACAATTATATGTCAATGACATTTTAAAGACAAAAATAATTTGATAAATATTTTAATTAAATATTTGATGAAACGAGATATGGTGTCGTCACCTTGTTGCTAAGAAAAATATGTAGAATGTTAGTGATTTATTTAACAATTCATTTTATGATTAACGTTAAAAAAGAATTAATGTGTCAACTTAATGTTGAATTGTAACAATTTGTGGTGTTATTTGTTCATTAAATTGAAATGGGATCAAACGGGACGTATCTTCTTCCTCCGAGCCTCTTTCCCAAGCTGGGTTGGGGTCGGCTTTTAATTCTACTACGCTATGGCTGTACTTCGATTTTTTCCGTGGAGCGACTACCATCAAACCTCCACAAGCCAAGTACTAGGCGATATCGAAGTTCTGTTGAAAGACTGTTGTCGGAATTTTTAGGGCTCCAACCACCCTTAACGATGGCCACAGATGTTCGTATGGCAACCGGGACCGACGGCCTCACGTGCTTTCTGAGGCAGGGAGGGGTGGCAATGGTAACCAATCATAGACTGACCTGGCTATGAATACTTAACTTTGCAATGTATAAACGTATTCGGCTACCACTTAGCCACGAGCCCCTCCATTCTACGGGAACGGGAACTATACCTTCCCAAATAATAAAAGAATTATCCAAATCAGTTTATAAATGACGGAGTTCTGAAGTCATAAACATAAAAAAATACACACAATCAAACTGAAAAAATCCTGTTTTGAAGTCTTGTCGTGTATTCATCATCATGAATTTGAATGACACTGCAGAGTTATTAAGATAATATGTTGATGACACACACACACACAAATTATATGTAATAAATAAAGAAGGGCTTTAAAATGTAGTTTTTATCTAAGCTATGCACGCAAATGAATACTTAAAAACTTAATGTTTATAAAGCTTTTAAACAATATTAATGCATTAAATCTATTTGTATAAATTGCTACCGAAGAATTTCTAATAACATTTGATGTCACGCACTACACGCTTTTCACAATCAATATTTTTTCAGATATAACAGTAAGCAGATAGGTATCTGCTTATTTACTCGTCCTATATCTGAAAATTGATGGAAAATTACTAGCGCCACCCAAGAACGCCTGCTACTCAGGAGTCATAACATAGATGTCGGACTTTAAGCT